TGCGGGCTGTGCTCGCTGTGACCCTGCCTCGCTGCCCCTCCATCAGCGCCAAGATGCTGCGACACCTCGGAACTTGCCTGGACCTGGCAGGGCTCTGCCTGCTGCCTGTGGGCACTGCCGGACATCCACCCTCCTCCTCCTCCTTCCCCCAGCTCCTCCTGGCCCGTTCAGCTGTCCTGCGCCAAGCACCAGACATTTGTCCTCACCTCTGCTGCATCTTCTCCAGCTCCATGATGTCTGTTTGCATGCAGCAGTCAAGCTGCACCAGGGGATTATTCAGTGGCAGGGTTACTACCTTCTCTTGTTGGCTCCTCTTTGCCTCCAAATTCCCAACGTTTGACAGCTGCTTTACGGTCTTCTCGACAACCGCTCTGAGCATTTAGCTCATGTTTTCTTGCGACTCTTTAATACCTAGGTCCCTTACAGGTATGATAGCAGCTAATTCAGATCCCACCGCTGAAGTTGGGGTTGACTTTTTTCCCCGTGCGCCTCGCTTCATCGTTAGCACTGCTCCATTTCCTCTGCTATCGTGTTACCTAGCTGCTCAGTGGCAGGAGGTCCCTCTGAATTCTTCACTCCCGTTTTTGCTATCCTGAACAGCTAAATCTCCCAGGTGCACTTTGTCATCTTAGGTTTGGCTTGTTGTGAAGCCTTCTTTGTGTGTGCTGAGCGGCAGAGCCCCCGTGTATATCCCCCTTGGACTCTGCTGGCAGTCTCGCTTACGAAAGCCAAATGTTGCTGCTTCTCTTTTAACCTGTTATTAATATTTTAAGGACGTTGCTCTTGTGCTGTGGTGGATTAGGGTTTTGCCAAGAGTGTTGGGTGGGGAGGTTTGTTGAAAGCCAACCAGGCTTTTAGGGTTGGGTTGCCACTCTTGTGGAGAACAGAGACAGATCTGCGAGACTTGACTTTTTCTCTGCAAAGCAGCGGTGTGCCCCGGCGTGCCGTGCCTGCCCGTGTGTCACTAGCGCTGCTCCCGGTAGACACTGCGATGTGCCAGGTGCAGATGTCTGATTTCCTTATCTGCAGTTACCCAGGTCCCTGCAGAGCTGCGTTAAAGAAAAAACAGTATGGCTTTTGCTGCCTCCCAGGTGGGTCTGAGCACGAGGCTGCACGTGGCGGCTGATCTCGCTGCCCATTGTAGGGGCACTCCGGAGCGATGCGGCTGCTCTGCCGGCGCCGGGTCGGGGTGCTGTCCCACACCCGAAGCAGGGATGCTACAGGCTGAGATCAGTCCCGAAAAAGAAAGGTCTTGGCAGGGGGAAACTTCCTGATCCCCTTCCTACAATGAATGCAGGTGTCAAGAAAAATTAATTTCTTTGCCATGCAGCCTCTTCCCCTGTCGTTTATTATCCCCGCAGTCACTCTGACATGCATCCCGCTCCTGATGAACACATCAGTGTGTCATTTTTCCTGGTTTTAGCAACACAGAATCTCTTTTTTTTCCTGACTTGCTTTGTTGTATTAAGTTTATCTTGCCAGAATTTTGCCTCATTTTCTATTTCCCCTGTCTGGGGGTGAGTTGAACTTCTTGAAGGATGTCTTCTTACTCCTAGAGGCTTGTTTTTAATATCCTGTTTAATCATGCACATGCCTCTGCCTCTCTCTGACAGGTGCAATGCATTTCTCAGCTTCTAACATGATGACTTTGTGCCGCCAGCAAACACTTTGGTGTTTTGATTGTCTGGCTTTTTAATGATTGCCCCAATTTTTTAAGGTGATGAGTTGAAACTGAAGCCTAGATGCTATGTACAAAGGTGAGCCTGGCCAGTGAAAAGCCAGGACCACTGCAGAGACAGGGCTTGTCAAACCTCAATGCCGGGCACCTCCTCCCTGAGCTCCTTCTCAGGGGGGTTTAAGCCATGCTAAGCTGCAGAGGATTTTGGCTGGGTTTCCTTTTGGCTGCCTTCCTCTCTTCTGGGTGTTGGG